CTTGCCATGGGACAATGCATGGGAGAACGAGGAGGGGGCGGTGTGAAGTGCGCAACTCTTGACATCACTAGATCTTCAGTTGGTTTGAATAAGTTTTCTGTTGGTCTGTCCTGTTTGTGTGGTGTTTTTTGAGGTGGTCATTCATGACTGTCTGGGTTTCGGTTTGGAATTATTTTGAGTTTGCTTGGAATGAAGGTGATGAATTTGAATTTTATTAATAGACTCTCTCAATCTTTAATATATTTTTTTTATTTCATATAACAATAAAACAATTAGAATTATTTCTTATAGAATTGTGATTTCTTTTTGCTAGTAGAGAGAAAATTAATATTTCCTTACTAAAACTGTATTCTTATAACCAAAAATGTTTTTTCTATTCATAGCCTGCTGGTAAAACCAGATTTGTCTGTTGTATAGATTTGACTTGTTTGAATACTGAACAAGAATTCTCAATGCTACACAATATGTACTTGTATCTGTTGGATGGATGAGAGCATTATTGATCCTGTAGATCCTGATCAGTTTACACACAAAAAATAATCTTAGTTTACACACAAAATAGCTTAGTTTACACACGAAATATCAAAATGGTTTGTGTGCTGTGGATTTTCTATGTGTGTCTGAACAGAATGTGTGATGTGAAAGCACCAGGAGATTTATCAGTGAATGTTTGTAAGCATTCATATTTAATTTTGCACCAGCAATATCTGCATGGTCAATAGATCTGCACAAGCATCATGTTAGCAGTGGCAACATTTGACAATCATTCATCTGTCTCATGTCAACTATGCCTGCCATACATTCTGTCATCAGGAAAGGTGATGTACAGAGAGCACCTACTTTTGTGTTGCAGAGCAAGCTGCTGGAGCATCTCCTGAGGCTGTGCATCACGAGGGGGCTCTAACGCGGAAACATGAATGGGAGACGCAGGACAGAAAGTGTACAAACAGGTACAGACTCATAAACTTTATTCTTCCTAACACGTCAGCTGAATTGTTCCTTTGATGTGTAATGCATTTAATGTCTTTGTAACTAATTATCTGTGTGTCCCAATCACTGGGTTAGACTTACCTACGGGATAGTGTTCCCTGCACTGATATTAGATCAAGTGTAGTTACAGTCTCTTATACTCTGTGTAAGATATTTCTAATACTAGGGTTGATCACTGGATTGTCTGGTCCAGACTCGATTACTTACAGACCGTCGCCATATGGCTGGAATATTGCTGAGTGTGGCGTAAAACTAAACTCACTCACTCTAATACTAGTGGTAACATGCATTTGTAGGAGTGTATATTTTATAAATTCTTGTGTTGCAGATCTTGGGACAAAGTGTTCACGGTGCTACATGGGGCTTCCCTTTCCTGCTACAAAGATCAGAAGCATGCTAAGTCGGTATGTATGGCCTTTAAATACATTGTAGAACCTTGACAGTAATATTGGTTCCGAAGTCTAAAGATGGGGCTATTGATGTAAATGTTCTGTTGCATTTAGCTCAAGTTTCGTTGAGAATGACCAGTTAATTTCAAATACTGAAATTTAAATCATTCTTGAAGGAAAAATTTCTTCATAAACAACCTTGTATCCAGAAGTTATCGGGTATGTGCCTTCGAACTGCTTTGAACTTGCAGGCAGACATAGACTACCAATGCAGCTGTGATGACTATTTCTGTATTTCAGGACCCCAATGCTAGAATTCACCATGAACCAGCAATTGATCTGGAATCTGCCACATGTCAAGTAGCATCTGATTATACCAAGCGACCATTCGTATTCCGCCTCAAGCTTGCCAACGGAGGAGAATACCTCTTCCAGGCAAAGGATGAGGTAAGAACCAAGTTTTGTGAGATGGTTGAATGTCACTGTATTTTTACACACACACAAAAGTTATTTTGTTGTTGCAGTTTTTCACCACCACTTATTCATTTTACTCCCCAAATCTTTCAAGGAATGTTTCCATAATACACTCTCGTTATTATCTGCCATTTGTTAAAGTTATGAAATTATTGATGCTGTGACAGGTAGTATTCTTTCGCTGACATGTGTATTCATTTATGTTTCAGAATGACCGTAACACATGGATAGCAAGGGTGAACATGTCGACCGGTGGAGAAGGTACGAGCGTGCCCACCAAATCTCAGACACTGCCAGCCAGGACAGATGAAAGCCGCAAGGAGGAACACAAAAAGAAAGGATTTTTTACACTAAAAAAGAAATAAAAACACCTCACCACAGATGAAGTTACCTAACTTTGCTTTGGTTGGAATCTCTATAACATTGGCCACAGACACTCTGCAATACCAGAACAAATCCTGCCCCTGTTTGTGCTACTGGGTCTTTCTGTGATCGGAAACTATAAGACTTGAGAGATTTTAATCTGTATTATATGACAGAGAAAGACTGATGTTTACTGGACTGGAGACTCAACAATTCAGGGAGAAAGGAAACATTTTGATCTATTTTATATTTTGTTGTTCCACTGTTTTGCCACCTTTTATGGGCTTAATGTGGCCATGTGTTCGTATATGCTGAACACTGAACATTCCATGCTGCCCATTTGATTTAAGAAGCAAACTTTTATTGTTTTACAATGTACAAATATTTTAAAATTTTACTGTGGACAAAACCCTATGAGCAGAGCCTGAACATGCTGAGTAGAAAAATAGGTTAGCCTTTTGCTCACTGGGCGATGTTTACTTGGGCTTGTATGGAGCAGATAGCCAGTGAAGGTGGGAGATTCCTTTCAAAGCAGAAACTGATGTGGACTTGAGATGGAAACGGAACGTCAAGGAATGGGACATAATGGTATATAGCATTGATCACTGTCGTCGTTCACTTGTTCATCCCCCATCAGTGCTCGCTCGTCGGTGTTCATTTTGTAATGTCGCATTCCATCTATGCAAGGCGAGTTCACCATCAAGCCAATACAAATACTTGTGGCCTCATTTTGTTGACTGGCAAATAAGTGCAAGTCAAGATGTCTAAATTTAGTGACATTTGTACCATGTGACCAAGCTATTCGTATCAGAAATCGGCATCTCATCCTTACCTCCTTGCTGTGACATTTTTAGCATGGCAGCTGTGTTGTGAATCGTGAATATATTGAGCCTTTTCATTTTCTGGCATTTAATGTGTCTGTACTTTTTATTTGTTACCATATATTGCCTATTATGCGCTATACATCATTCACATTTGCCGACAACTTGCAAGCAACCATTTTGTAGATAGTGTAATGTACGCGTGTTGTAATTTTAAGGCATTGTAGTGTCTAGTATATATAATGTCTCCAGGAATTGTAGTTTGTTTCCATGTCATTGTTGGGTTGTGTTATTGTTGACTTTGAAAGGAAACCAGATTGCCCGGGATAGGCTATAGGTGCAAGGATGTACTAAATTGAATGTATTCTCCAGATTACACTGTCAGTTTAATGGATAAATACCAGGCTTGTATTGCATACATATGTAGGCAGATCATTTAAACGCTTTTTTGTTTGTTGAATCGTTTATTCTAGATTTCAAATTAAAAATTTAACTTTTTTTTTCTTACGAGAACTAAGGAGACCAGTGCCTGATCAATGTAAAGATTTCAACGCCTGGATTTGTAGACCTGAACTTGATTATATACATGAAGTATATCTCCTCATGCATGTAGTTCTCTTCTAGTGCCATGAACTTTCATCATTGCTGTTAAAATCTGAATAATCATTGAGCCCTGCTTGGCACCATTCTATCTGTACGCACTCCAGTAAACTGATTATGTCTTATGTCGCGGGCATAATGGCAGTGTAATAGATGTCCAGTTGACTATCAAATTCTAACTCTTGTGCTTTACCCATTCTAAATTGGGGTGCTTCACCAGGTTTTGTATTTGCTTACAAGGTAAATAAACCATACCAAACTATGTCTGTCTTTGTTGTCTCAAAGAAGACCATATTAAAGATTACAAAAATGATTACACTACCAGAAAATGTCAACTTCAGTAAAGCTTGCCTATTCCTTCCAGGTACAAAATGTTGATTTTGAACATTGAAAGCATAACAGATTTCTTAACAATAAGGAAACTTTATGTGCACGAACCAAAACACTTGAAAATACCAGATTTTTGCAAAGAGAATACTCAAAACTCGAGATTTGTTAAGCAAAAACATTTACATGATGGCTGGAAAGATAAGACAGAAACATCCATTTTGTTAGTTACAGACCTGTAAATAAAACTGCTTTCGGTGTTAGAATTTGACATCCACCTTAGTTGGGCTCAGCTGGGAAACTACCCTAAATTTCCTCCATACCTGGGTCTGCATTTCTTTCTCGTCCATGTTGAAATCAATAACCAACATGAGTGATGCACAGCACAGCTTTACATTCAAAAGAGCAACTTCATGTGAACAATCCCTGGATTTGACACTGGTTGAACATATGTGCCTAAATGCAGTTTATTTATGAGGCCTGCATTGCAGTCAAGGTGACCTTTTGGAACATGCCACATTTAGCAAGTTTTCAAAGACATTTAGCCTTGATATTCAACATGCAGTCGACTAACCAGATGAGCATCACATTATCCATTAATATGGTCTGAGAAGTATTCCACAGCTTGCCACCTGATGGAACAAACTATGGAGACAAGATGCTTCCACTGTTGTCTCTTGCTGATAGTAGTGAACCCATGACTCGCTGATAGTTACAAATTACTCAACAAAATAATTAAATCAGCTGGGTCTGCTTCAAGTTTTCAACAGATATCAAGAACCTGGAGAGAGAACCAGATCATGATTCTGAATCCTTGGAGCCTAGCATGCAGAAACATGTGTCATGCTTGGTTCATTCCTTTGAAGATAATCAAGAAACATTTATTTTATCAACATATTCTTTGATGGTGGTCCTCTTATTCCCTTCTGAACTCTTGATTCCCACCTCTTGCAAATGGAAAGGAAGGAGCATTGTTCCCTAAAATTAACACAGTTCATCCAAACTCTCATATACCACAATTAACTTGACAAATATATTTTATACACAAATTTTATTGCATGACAATTTTGATGTTTTGAAACAAGTATCTCAGACTGACATCAACAGTCCCTTTTACTCAAATTATTACAAAACATCACTTTCAAAAAAAAAAAAAAGAGTTCAATGGTATAAAATGCAAAAATCTGTTCACTATTAACTAAACATGTTAGAAAATCAATATTCAACATCTTCAATGCTTAATCTGAATTTCAATAACTTAAATTGTTCGATATATACAATGATGACACGAGATGAGATGTGACTGGGAGTTTTACCCTTTAACATTCAACACAGGCACACAATACACTGCTTGGCAGGACAATACGTTTAGTGAACTGCAGCATACAACACTATCATACTAACGCTGGAAGATGAAGACATGGACAAGATGAAGAATGACAGTAAACAGGTTTCATACCATTTTCAGTAACAGTACATCCTCAATAATCTCCTGGGTATATGTTCAGATAAATCTCCACTAGTACCCTGGATGCATCTACGGCTTGCCCAATAATTTTATTACCTCCCTTTGCTGGGTCCACCTACTCACAGTAGCCAATCAGATTAGCCATTACAACCGAGCTTGCCAGTGTCAACAAAGATAGCCGCCGCATCTACGAGTGTTTGCTCGCTGTGCAACTCAGATTTAGGGGAAAACTCATGCAGACAAATTGACAGGTCTGAAACCTTAAAAATATATATGCAAGAACTCCTGCCTCTTTCAGAATACCTCTGCAACAACTGTTGAGAAGTTTAATCCATTAGATAAAAGAAGTGAAAGTGAGTTGTGACAGAAGCCATGTGATTGGTACGCTCAACTTCCCAGTGTAGACACCTGATTGGATAAAATGCCAGCAAAATTGTCGGACTGAGTCGTATATGCATCCAGGGTACTAGTGGAGATATATCAGAACGTATACCCTGGAGACTATCGAGGATGGTAATAGTACAGCAATATCACACCATTTCCAATACCCCTGTGGGGAATTGACTTTGATGTTCAGCGTGATAAGCATATCTTTTACTGCTTGGCTACCTCAACACTTAGTGATTCGTGCATTACTGCCAGGTTTTCTAGGGTGATTTCGACTAAATCTTGAGCAAATTATGTTGTACTTGAATTAAGTACTTGACTACAAGCTATACACATGTTCATAAAAATACAGTGTAGCAAAGTGTTAATTCAACTTCACAGCAATGTAACTTGTAGACATCTGTCATACAATTGTAGGTGCTTCTAAATGTTCACATATTTAAAAATAATTTTCATGACCATTTTGGTGTTTCCACACAAAAAATACCCCCCGAAATGACCCCAAAGTAATGTTAAAAGAGATTTAACCAAGAACTTTGGGTAATATACAAATTTACAACCGATATGAACTGCACCATTTCTTAAAATGACACATCAGTTGACAAGGAATAATTCATTAGTAACTTAGTACTACAAATACAAAAACTGACCTGCAATCAGAAAAATGATGAAAACTGAGGTAACCATGAACCAGGTTATGTAATCAAAACACCACTAGTGACAAGAAACATTGTTAGCTCAAGAAGATATCAACAAGACTAGGAATGTGGAACCTCATCATAGTGAGAGACTTGCTCACATCACAAATTCATCATACAGGTAAGTACCACCATCTGTACCACAGTTAACATCACCTGTGTATGTACAGTACAGTCAATGGTGTGTCAGCTGAGTATATGCATTGTTGGTAAATCCATTACAGCTCACCTCTTTCATAGAGATTGCTGCTCATATAGATGAAATAAGACCCAGAAGATCAGCCTGACTGCAATATGTCCACTAATGTGTCAAAGTAAAGCTGATAACGTCAGCAATGCTGTTGTTTTTCTAAGGCATCCTTTTGAACTGAAGTTGACAGTTATGTTTGAACTGTCTCCATGTCAAATTTTAGCACACTTGATTGAGCATGTCAGTTAAGAGATGGATGACAGGCAATCATGTGGAATTCAGTTCAGCCAGGACTTGTGAGCTAGAAATATTCTGTTGAGGATGAAGTTCAATCTCGGGAGGATCCGGAAGATGGAGTCATGATGCTTGGCTTGCTGGAGGCAGGGCGGATCAATGGTGGGGGCTGTTGTAATATAGTGGCCTTCTGAGGAAGTAACCTGCAAGTTTAACATATGCATTAGAGCAACATACTGATGGAATGCAATAAAGAAGGCAACAGTAATTCCAAAAATCTGATCTCAAAATGCACAAAGTAGAGAATGAAATCCCCTTCCCCAATCCGAGTGGCCCAATTGATTCAAAAATTCTCTCAAATATTGGTTTGAAGCCAATGTAATATTTCAGCTATATGGCGATGGCCTCAACATATTCTGCGATTGCTGTGAGCAATGATCATAACTGTACGACACAAGATTAAATAGGCCTCACCAGCACATCCGTTTTGTCATCTCTTATGACCAACATGTTGGCTGGGTACCAATTCTAAACTGGACTCCCCATTGGGGTTCTCTTCATTAAAATGGATAAGTGTATACTGTTAGTAGTGAGTGTACCTGTGAGTCTGTGACTGTGGGGAGTTGCGGTTATTGACAACTGGTACCGCTGCTGGTGGAGGCTGCTTCAATAGAGGGGGTGGGGCTCCAGATGACGCTGTGTTGTTTATGGTTCCACCATTTGATTGGGCAGCTTCTACTGGCTTATCCACATCCATCTGAAGGACACAAAACATTAACTTGTTAACAAAACTTAGGGGAAAAATATTACCTGCCCTATGATAAACATCACTGTAAGTAAGCATAGCAATTCGGTTGAAGCCCAAGTCTAATACAATGAGCGTAAGCTAATTCATCTACTGAAGTTATATACTGAAAATATTCCTAAAACACAGGTCTGGGCTTGTAGACAAAAGTTTCTGACACAGACTGAGGAACCAGACATTAATTCACTTAATAGCCACATATCAGACTAGCACAGGCTACAATCAGAAAAAATAGCTTATATTTTGCAGCTTCCTCTGTGTGAGATAATAAAAACATGCTTTGCAGATCACTGACAAGTTCATTGGAGACAACGTACCTTTTCTGGTTCTTTCTCCTCTTCCTCTATGTTGGTGGTACTCTCCATCCCATGCTCAGCTTCATATTCTGCCAACACTTCATCCAGGTTGTAGCGCCTCCGGAAATTCACGAAGAAACTACGAACATGTGCTTCTAGTTTGTTCCCAATTACTTCAGCTATTGCTTTGAAATCCTTGCCATACTTCCTCACTCCTGCAATAGAATAAAAATAATGCACATCACAGTTCTTACAGTCATACGAGTAAAGGGAGACAACTCACATGGGACGGTCTATAGAGGGGACATAATCAGCAGATGAAATAATGAGAGTGTGTGTTACAATATTTATAAAATTATAAATTGAAGTTTTCAATGTACCCATACTATGACTAATATTCTGATTGGAATCTCTCCAACAAAGTCCTAGAACTTTTCATAACCAGCAATGTGTTACTATTATCTCTATGACGGTAACTCTGCCCGGGAATATTCTGTATTACTGGTGTGCTGAGCTCACCTTGTACAGCAAGTAGTAATTCCTCATTTGTCCATCTTGCATTGATCTTCTGATTGAGCTGCAATACCAAGCAACATAATTAGCATTGAAAAGGAAGGAACTATAACGCATAGACAACAGGATCTCCACATCAAAACCCAATCGGAGGGATTGAATGTTCAAATATGCCAGTATGCAATATTCCATTCTCATCATTGGGGACTGCTAGAGTTGACTACAATAGCAAGAACATACTGGATCAATAGTCAACAGTTATCATAGTCAGTTCTTGTGACAAGGTGTTAGGGACACTGTTCTAAATACGGGGGATTTGGGTTGTGGATGACAGTTATATTATGTATGAATTAAGTAAACATGGTAATAAATCCTCACCTCTTGAGATTTGAACTTGTCTATTCCATCTGACAGTTTGTGCTTTTGTAAACTTAACATCTGTTTGTTGTTCTGTACCTGAAACAAGTAATGATGTTAGCAACATTGCTTTCTTTAGATTCTTCAACATCCATAAAACAATATTTATACAAAAAGGAATGTCACAATTTGATAAAACAAAGCCCTCGAACTAAAGAGCCACAAAGCTCTATTTCACTTGACCGATGATATAATTAATGATGGTTCACATACTTTGGTTCAAATATCTTTAAGATCCGGGTTAGAATTGGTCTTCAGCAACCCATGCCTGTCGTAAGAGGTGACTAACGGGATTGGGTGGTCAGACTCGCTGACTTTGTTGACACATGTCATCATATCCCAATTGCATAGGTCAATGCTTATGCTGTTGATCACTGGATTGTCTAGTCCAGATTCAATTATTTACAGACCCCCGCTACATAGCTGGAATATTGCTGAGTGCGGCATTAAACAACAATCAGTCAGTCAGTCAAACATCTTTGAGGGGTAAGATAAACTGGTGCTAAAGATCTGGTAAAAAGTCACTCTGGGACCTCGTTAGGACAACAATGTGAGTGAAATAGTGATCCCCTGAAGACACTTGGATCTTCTCATGGTCATTACATTCACACAAAGTTTAAGCCCTGTACCCAGTTTCACATTGATTTGAAAAAGGTAAGATGTCTCCATGAGATGGAACCAGCATGTAAAATTTCAGCTTCATCAGTCGAGCAACTTCAGAGGAGAAAATACTAAAGCGTGGTAAAAGTGCAAAGGCCTGTGTCGTGTTAGAGGGTGTAACAGTCATGTAGCTTTAAAGTAGTCTGTGACATGAAAGAAACCCAGCTTTGAAATGTAGGTCCAAGTAGGACTCCATTTGACACCTAAAGCAAAGGCTGCTTTGGCACTGACCAGCCAAGGGGCAATAACACACAAGTCATATTATAGAGTATGCTGGTTTGCGTGAGCTCGATTTCAAGTCTTCTCTCATATAAAAAAATGTAGGATGGTGAATAGTACCTGGGCCAACCTACAGACAACCTCTACCAAACAACATTGTTTCTTGTTAACATGTCCAAACAATGACTACATAGCTAAAACAGCTGAAATATATCACAATTTCGTATGAGATAACCAATGCAAAAATCCCTGCTTCAAACTAACAATTCCATTCATCTCGGACACATCTGATAGAACTAAATCTAAATCTAAACTGAATCAAAACAAAATTAAACTGCAACAAAATTACCAATAACAAAATAATGTGAAAAAAATAATACTAAAAAAATCATCACTTGCAATTATCCTCAACTACATCTAAAGAACACATGTTCTACATAAGCTTGGCAACAAATAACTGAATGTTGTTAAAGTTTTGCCCACGACAGAAATAGGAGAAAGTGAAGGTATACTGACGATTGTTACCTGTCGTTTGAGTGCGACAAGCTCCGAATCTAGTGACTTGAGTACAGCCTCTGCTTGGGGTGCTGGTCCGTTGACCATCGACATCAGATCATCATATGTCAGATGCATCCCTCGAGGAGGCTTCCGCTTGTGTTTCAGTGGATGTGCTCGGCCTGTGTGTTGACTTTCATGCCGTTTTAAACCTTGTGGCCTCATCACACCTGAACGTCTGTGAGAAAAATAAAAGTGATTTTAATTTTATGTCTTTGTGGCAAAGTTTATCATACAAACGTGGAAATAGTTACTGAGTATGAACATCATAAATGTTTTTCACTCAACCGAGGGTGTGGGGTAACCTAGTGGTCAAAGCGTTAAGCTCATCATCGCTGGAAGACCCGGTTCGATTCCCCACATGGGTACAATGTGTGAAGCTCATTTCTGGTGTCCCCCGCCCGTGATGTTGCTGGAATATTGCAAGCGGGCGTAAAACTAAACTCACTCACTCACTCAGCCGACATCTGCTTAAGCGAGTGCACAAGTGATTTGGTTTTGGCGCCATATTGGGCAATTGAGGGTGAATTTTGGGATTCTTTGTCCCTTTGATTAGCATGTCAGTTACATCACAACATATTGTCTTGGGAGGAAAATCAGAAGGGATGCAGATCCCAAACATTTACCACTTTGGAAGAACCTACATGGGTGTGGTGTTGATACACCAAGAATCAGATCCAGGTGACATTAGGGATTCAAACCTATGAGCACATTATTCTAGCATCGCTAAGGGACACAACTCCACACAGCAAAGTGTGGTGCATCAGGCAACTGGTTGACCAACACCATAATGCTGCAGGAGTAATCAGTCATTACGCACAATTAGCAAAATCAGTTTGTTTTACTGTGTATATAAGGATATATTGGTATGACCTGTGAAGATCTGGGTTAGAATTGGTCTTCAGCAACCCATGCCTATCGTAGGAAGTGATTAAAGGGATCAGGTGGTCAGACTCAGTGACATGGTTTGATGGATATCATTGTATCCCAGTTGTGTAACTTGATGCTCATGATGTCTATCACTGGACTGTTTGGGCCTGACTCGATTATTTACAGATAATCGCTGAAGATTGCTGAGTGCAAACAAACAAACAAATTGCCACAAGCAAACAAACAAAAGTAATCCATACCTCCAATATTGATAGCATATGTTACACAGTGAGCCCTTCGGCGTCACATGCAGCTGGGAGGTCTTCAGCTTGCAGTTCCCACAGTGATCCTTCTCTACTTTCTAAACAAAACAAAATGGCAAAAGAATGGCAAATCAGTAAAACATAAAGGGTTAATAATAGACATATACTCTGTAAGACTGACATAGTGGATAGTAAATTAATATCATAGAGGGACAAGTATTTAGTCTGTACCCAAGAAAACATTGGTATTCAAAGATTTTAACTTTTAGGCTACGCGTTTCGTAGCCCTAGTCTGTAAGAAAACATTGGTATTCAAAGATTTTCACTTTTAGGTAGGTTTCATTAACGCCACTTTTAACACTACTTTACATTGTCCTGGCTTAAGCGGAAAGACAAAATAAAAATTTGGTTTAGTCACGAACTAACTTTGGTGAAACCTGAGCACAGGTAAGGTGCTGACAAACCTAGAGACCTAATCAAGGATGAAAAACAACAATCACAGGATTCTGGAATGATTAAGGGAGACAACTCTTCAAAGTGAATTGCAGCACCAAAGTACCATACGGTTACTCCCCAAGCAGCAAGCAAGGGGTGCAGTCTATGTAGTTTACTGTGCTACACACATGAAAGAAGCTGGAAATACCTACCCCATTCTCTTTGTTATCTGTTTCACTGTCACTCTTACTGCCTTCGTCAGATGCATCACTAGAAGAAGAAATCATAATCATAATTAACTTAACAGAACCATACAGACAGTGATAGTACAACATGGTCTTGAAAGCGTATTGATTACAGGATAATTATGTAAGAAATGCTTCATTCTGGATTTTTTTTGAACAATCAACAGTTATTAGTTTCATTACAGAAATCAAAATGCTATTTTAAGTCTTAAATCCAACCTCATTCAGTAAACAAACCTTTATTAAAAATGAGCTCTTCACAACATATAAGTTCTAAACACCAAATGGATTTGCGTGTTTCTTGGGTCCATTATTACAACAGCAGTATGTGAGTTAATAAATAATAAAATCATGTTACGGCTAGTAAGCTCAGCCAGTAAAAGTCAATATAACATGAATATCTACTGGAAGTCTCAATTGTTTTGGGCACCAACAGTAATAAAGGCCCAGTACTCACCTGTCCCCATCCCTCTGACTGGCTAGCTTCTTCGCCTGGCGATCCATTAGACTGGTTCGTGACCGTGTCTTCTTCCATGAGTAATAGTATTTCACCAGACTGGCTATAGACTTGTCAGGCAGCTGCAACAGAGCATCTTCTATACACAGCACATCACCATACACATACAACACTTAGTATACAACATTTCTGTGTATAAAACACAACATCTCCAATCAGATCTACCAGCAGTTGCCTATTCCAGCCTTCTAGCAACAGATCATCAAAAAAGATGGACTTGGTGGGCAGACTCACTTGTTAGGTTGTACCCGGACAATACAAATGGTTGCTTACAGTACTGATCACTGGATTGTCTGGTCCAGATCTGGTTAAATACAGATCATATAGCTGGATTCATATAGCTTAATATTGCTGAGTGGGGCATTTAAAGACAAACAAACATATTCCTCTTCCACAGGCACAAGTACATATCTGTCAAGGTATGTCGTCTGCCTATTTGGGTAAGATATCATTCATACTGCACTTTCTGCTAGTACATACTGAAATATTCCCGCTACTTTCTAAAGTTAAGTTTGGAAGAAACGGTAACCCTGACTTACCATCTGCCGTATCCGATGAAAACTTTTCCCATGAAAACTAAATGCTTGCTCAAAAAGTACTTTGTCTTCTACTGTCCATTCATCAGGAAAGGGTGTGAAGTTTGCCAGATCGGAGAGAGCCCTCTCAACATTGTGTTTGTGCCAGAACAGCATGCCGAGGGCCTGTAACAACAAAAATACCTATTTCAAACAAACCTTTCTTGATAAACCAAGGAAACTAGGAGCAGATGAGCAGATCCTGGTATCTGTCATGTGTCATGTTATCAGCACTGTGCTACCTAGATTACCATGCTGTCAACCCTGTACCTCTGCCACAACCAGCAAGATGTCACCATTTGCCATGGTTACTGGTGTTGGGAATTGGTTGAAATCTCACAATTGATGATTGTTTCATTACCAACGAACAATCATCGAAATAAATTGGTTAGCGTCGTTTTTCAGATTTTCCTATCCAGGTTGTTATTGCAGATATTTATAACATGATGCAACTTGCTACTTTAAAGTGATGACTAATATATCATGAACATAAACTTCCCGAGAAGTCTTCAAGAGATATTCAGTCATGGCTTTTCAGTTAGTGAAGTGAGTTTTCTAAGAATTAAACACGTTTTCATGCCCTGACAACTTCAACGATATGTTCCATTGTCAAGTATTTCAAAGACTAAAACAGTAGTTCCAAAATCATTTATGTTCGATTATGAGAAAATGTGATCGATTGCTTGGTTGTTTGGTCACTGCGACCAATCTTCGATTATTTCAATTAATCGGACCACCACTACTGGTTACCACAGTCAATTTAAGAAATTATACATGTTTTGGATCTGTTTCAAGGTTTGAAAGGTCCACACTTTAGACAAACATGTCATGAAATGAGTAGGTCTCATTAAGTAAATAACCTAAAAAATTGAAACCTGTTTCAATTTGAGCATTTACCCTTTGTTTACATTGTACGTCAGTTTGATCATGTAGAGGTCTAAAAATATATTGAAGCTTAAGCAGCATCTCCATATAATTATGCAAAACAAGATGCAAGAGGCTTACATAAGGTCAGTCTGTCCTGACTCCAGAATATGCATGTTTGTTGACAAAAAAGTCGGTCACATAATGTGAAAATGAGTTTGTGGCAGTGGTGTACGGCGGAGTCATCACTGTACCTGAGTGTGGTGTTAACAGCTGTGATGGATCATAGCTGTCGTAATCATAGCTACAAATTGAAACTATTTGTACTAAACAAGATTTGTGCATGATTTTCATAAATATATTGAATGTAAAATATGCTCTACACATGTACAATATGATTCATCTTAATCTGGATTATAGCTTTGTTCCCTTCAGATGAAACAAGAGTCATCAGAAGATGTCAAATCCCCCCGGACCACACATATTTGAAGATAAAAATCATCTGACAGTTACTTAAAGTCCAACTCATTTTTTTTAAGATTAAGTTCAAAACGTTTCCATGGAAACAGAAAAATAAAAATGCCAAAATTCTGCAAATAACAAAAGGCATCACTTTGGGATATGCCTCATATATATACCAAGTTTTGCTGAAATTATTGAAAGATTTTTGAGTTGTGCTCTGGAAACGAAACCCACCCCTCCCTTTTGAGACTAAGTCTGAATCATTTCCATGGAAACAGAAAAATAAAAATGACAAAATTCTGTAAATAGCAAAAGGTACTGACTTTGGGCATGTTAAACAATGTTAAAAAGAGATTTGAGGAACTGTAGTGATTAAGGCTGTAACGATTCACTCGCATATTCGGTGAATCGAACCGTAGCCCTTCATGAATTCAATTCATTATTCGTGGTCATAAGAACCGAATATTCATGAATATTTACAATTTTTATAAGGGAGTGTGTTTTACTTGAACCCTATGTCCTTTTTCAAAACGAAATATGCAAGAATGCAATATGTACTAGCCTTGTAGTAGCCCAAGTCATGTTAGTTTGCCCAGGCTGCACATGTTACTATCAACTATAACTATTACATACAAAATTTGAGTGTCATGTGATGACTGGATATTGCTGACACAAATTAACACTGTCAACATTGGCATTCAATATTGTGCATCAATCATTTAACTACAATATTGTATTCATGAATAATTATTCGTATTCGTTACCTAATATTCATGATACGTATCATATTCGCAACATAGTGTATTCGTTACAGTCCTAGTAGTGATGATATTTGACTGACTGTAGTGAAAATTGTACGGCAGTGAGGTTGTCAATAATTGATATCTTATTTTATTCAGTTCCATCTGAAGTATAAATTACGCTCAGAACACTTTCTAATCAGAATGATAAATCTGCACTCAAGCTTCATTCATAATAAATAATATTAGGGAGCGCGCTAGTTAAACACTGAATTATTGAAAACTGGCATTAAAGTATTTGAAAAGAAATATTCCAAAAATGTCTGTACCGCAGCAACTGCCCACAGCACTTACCTGTTCTGTGTTGTAGCCGTGCTTTTCTTTGGCAATGTTGATGTATTCATCAACTGCAAGACATGAATCATCAGGATCATTGATATATCATCCCCACACAAAACTATGTAACAACTATTGATAGCTCTAGGGGATACCACAAATTGCACCTGAGCTACTGTGATTCCTTTTCAATTCCAGGTGGAGAAAATGATATAAAATGGGTTTAACAGTGAGTCAAACATTATTGTATTTATATAGTAATTGCATGCATGTCTGTGTGGCTATTTGTGCTAGTCAAAACTTCTATAGTTCGATAGTCCTAGCCATCTGACATAAAATATCACAATTCAAAATGGCTGCCCTACTCTGACACAGCTCACTGAGCCAAACATTTTCCCCTCAATGACAAGCTCACGACAGGGTAACAATAATGCACTATAGGGAATTAAGTCTAATATCACCATTAATGTGCGTAACATCCATATTTGTGTTTTAACAAGGACTGTAATATCATCCCAGTACACTGAAACATGCTTTTCAACAACTGAATAGTTTTTCTGTGTTCGAGAACATTTTGTTGTCCTTTATGTCATTTTTTAAATCAACACAGATTCCTTCACATATGGAAACAGGAAATTAATGTTTCCTTTTGAAATTGATTAACAGAAAGTCAGAAATGCAGAAGTAATTTTTCTGTCATGTGGTTATCTCCCTTTGATTCATGGCTACAAAATTTTGGCAACTGGCCAAATGGGGTAATATTCCATTTAGTATGTAGACATCTGTATTGCAATACACTGCAATACAATATTTTCAAATATACAGACCCAGTAACTACCCTGTATCAGTGTATGTGCACATGCCAAGGGATGTAGAATCAGATTTAGAAGAAACAAGTTGGTTAGCATCCCTTAACTCAACAGGTGTTATCTATATCGACTCAGACAGGGTTGCTCAGACCATGAACCTGTTACAAATGAACACGACAAGAAAATGAGAACTTGAGCCTACCAGTTCCATGTTTCCATTACAATAATAAGGAAATCTGAAAACAAATCAAACATAAACTTACCTTTTATTTCAGGCAAGTCTCCAGTAGGTGCCCACACCAACATGGCTTCAATTCTAGATTCTGTCCGCATCTCTGAAATAGAAAAACAGTTCACACTATTCATCCAAACAATTCTCCACAACAGCACAAAATCTGTTCATCAGATTAATACAATTGCCAGGGAACCCACCTGAAATAACAAGAAATAATTTCTGAGCAAAATCCTTCGATGGACATTTCCAACAATACTCATCCAGAAAGTTGGGCTTTTCCTTAGGCCTAACACGGTTTCATTGCATTCGTACATGACTGGAAATTCAAGCAAAATTGACTAAATGAACAAAAGATAACTTAACACTGCTGACAGCAATATGGCAGCAGTCAGTAAAATATAATCTCACATGACAAGAAATGCCAATATCAATCTTTGGGTACTTCCAGGGAGACAACTGTGTCTACACCACATAGTGTCAGAACCATCCACATGAGCAGTTATTGTACAACAATACAAATAAATCATTTGTATTTTACAAAAATCCGATATTTTCAAACTGAATTTTTTGTTAAGTCATACATGATCAAAAGACCTGTCAGACTGTTGGACCAATAACATGATTGAACATGGCCGCCATCAGATAGTGTGAGACATCTCACCCCTATCACTTTCATTCCAGACCTATTGTCCAGGATTTTATGGTACTTTAGCACAGCTCATAATGGAGATGATTCAAAATGATAGGCAAATGATTGTGAACCCAATGACCCCTGAAACCCTGTACAAAATTCTGGCAGTAAATTCATATCATATTTATGCTAAACAATTCCATTTGTGGGTCTACACAATTATGTACAGCTGGTAACCTTGCATGTATCAGGAAACACCAGTTTGACATTGTGAAAACAACCAATTGCCTAGTAATTATTGAACTTTTGTCATACCTATTAAATGATATTTTGTCATCTCTGCCAAAGAATCCACTTTCAATACTGCTGTTTATGTCTTAGGCTAACAGCTGTTGGCCTAAGACAGCTGTTAGCCTAAGACAATTGTTGGTAAAAAGAACTTGAAAACCATTGACTAACACTAACAGTCAGGCTTTCAGGTTTAGTTCTTTGATAAGGAACCAGCTGTCTCCTAAGAAGTCATGTGTTTAAGCCATAGTAAAATTAAAGTTGAAAAATCCATTTATATAAAGCCTGTTTGTAGGAATCCAACAGTTTGAAATGAAGACTGGTTGAATTATGTCTAATGGGTATTTGAATTGAATTATTTTAGGGACACTTGACTTTTCTTAAAGGTGATAACAGATTTAAATATATGTCTTACGTTTCAGTAGAACTTTTTCTGTTAATTACCTGCTGCTGTGCATCTTTCAAACATAATCTACATCTTCATTCCATAGTTAACAAGTCACAATCTGCGACTTCAACCCCTTAGTCTGAAGCCGAAGACCAACATAATTCAGTTCAGACTAACAACATCAGCTCATAAAATACTGTATGACACTGAAACATACTAAAAATAATGCCAAGAGCCATATTTGAGCTGGCAGTCTCAAAAGCTCTATTAGGCAGAGACTGAAGTCATAACATATACCGGTATACTGGACAAAAATAGTTAGGGATATATGTAAATTTTGAAATTATGAATGATCTATTTTTTCATTGACACACTGATAAAATATCAATCATAAAATACCAATATCCCTAACTTATTTTGTCCAGTATAGTTGCAGAGGTTTCAGAGAACACACTCTCTGCATTTTGCATATGAATCCTTATAAAAACCCAAACAGTATAATGCGGATATTAAACATTTATATAGACAGCATTGGTTTGTTTTTAGTTTATTGTTATCAGGCTGGGACAGGAACACTCAATGGAAGGAACCACTTTAGCAGAGTTTAGACTGTTGATGATAAATCAATGTATTCTTTGGATCATTATAGCTGTCTGCAATCCTTTAACAAGGCCTGGTGGCAACTGATGAAATAAGACTGTCCATTTTATTCATATGCTAAATGTGATCATCACTTGACTTATGACATGATTATAAATCTGTGGTATGCCATGATCGTGACCCACTGACCTACACAAGGCAAACACATTTAATATATGTTTCTGATTATCCATGTATTGTTTATATTTTTGGGAGGCATTAGTATAGATTTGGTTTGCTTCACTTTAGATAAACTGGCAATTTTCTTCTGGCCAAATAAAAAATATGTTGTGGTTCCGATAAAACCTCTTTAAAATTTAGGGTAGGTAGGTCTGATTTTAAAAACATTTTTCTTTAGAAGTAAAGTACAAGCTAATAACACATTTATCAATGAGTATCAATGGTCATCATGTCGACTTTCTCTATCAGCATGACCTATGTCCGTCGGTGCCCGGGAAAAAACAATGGTATCTGAAAGCTTATTTATTCATACCGAAAAAAATAGGGTCAGCACCAGAATTCAAGGGTCGGCCGGGTAATCGGAACCACAACATTTTATTAGGCCTCATTTGAAAGAAGGATTTTACTGAGATACTTCAACTATCCTTTATACATATACAAGAACAACACATATAATAAACAAAATAAAATAACCTGTTTGGTATTTTGTTTTAAAATAACTTTTTTCCCTATTCAAAACTCTCACAGATCCAGAAACTTTTGCACTTTCAAAATAGCAGAGGGTACCTCATAACAATACTGTGACTCTATGAAATGTTTATAATAAGTAACTGATTTTGATCTTGAGATGACTGACGGACTGAGTTTGGTTTTACGCCGCTTTTAGCAATATTCCAGCAATATCACGGCAGGGGACACCAGAAATGGGCTTCACACATTGTACCCATTTGGGGATTCAAACCCGGGTCTTCGGTGTGACGAACCAACGCTTTAACCACTGGGCTACCCCACCGGCCCGATCTCGAGATGAAGGCTTCAAACACCAACAGACACATATTCAACCAGAACACAGTGCTTCTGTTTTCAAGCTGCTGTCTAACATCATTGTCCATGTGTTCTTACAGTTCTGCTTAATACCGAGCACTGAACACAGAAAACACGGAATCAAGAATGATTGCCATTGATCTAGAAGTTATGGATATCGTGTCACGTCCATAATGCCAGCAGTCACCTATCACCATGGCCGTTATCAAGATCAATACACCTGCAGCTGTCCTAACCCCCTGTTTAACAATTCTATCAACATGGGGTTAGCCAATTTTACTCTTGAAATAATTGTGGTAATAAATGTTGTTTTTTTAATATTATTTAAACATCTCATCTGAAAATCTACTTAGTACCTATATCAGCTGAAGAAGGATAACAGTACATAGATGAGCAACTTCTTTGTTGCAGTGAGAGCACGTTTCAGTGTAGGTTTTAACACTGTTACAGGGGTGGAAATAACCCATTGCCCCACGCCCGAGTCCAGTGTTTTTTTCTGTCGGGCAAGCAAATTTGTATATCACACTGTACCGGTGTCCAGTTGAATTTCCAATGTTAATTATGTTGTTTATTTGTAAAAATCAACAAGAAAATGAACGGTATAGTGGAAAAATTATCAGGGCAAGTGATTTTTCATGTGCCACTGTTCCGGAGTACACTAGCAATTTTAAAGTTATTTCCATCCCTGTGTTACCAAGCAAGTTATCAAGATGAACAGCATGAGGATGGAGAAGCATATATACAAGTCTGAGGAGATGTTTGTACAGTACAAAAGGAATAACACTGCAATAAAGAAGTTGTTCATCCATATATTGTTATCCTTCCTTACTGCTCCAACTTCTAAATCATGCCTCTCAAAGGTTATATCAGCTGATACTAAGAGCTTCATATACAAAGGTTGTACCAGGGTTAGACATGCCACTACTCCTTCATTTCAAGACTTGTAAAATTCAGATGGACAAATTGTTTTTCCCCCTAAAATCTGGCCCTTTTACATAGACCATTAGTCCATAATGAGCTGCAGACTATTTACATTTACCTATGGTGTCAACCCCAGATCAGTTACATTCACCCATGGTGTCAACCCGAGATAAGTGATTCTGTAACACTTCCATTTATGTTTTCAATTTGTTGGTAAAATTTTGTATGCAAACATCCATATTGTGACTCATTATGAAATACAATATACACATCACCACACAACCATATGTAATGCCATAACTACAATATATATTCTTCTGGTCTTAATTACATAAGCTGTTCATTATTATGCTTTCCAAGAGGAAATATAATGACACACTTTCAACTTAATCACACGCACGTAGGCATGCACGCACGCACACACACGTATGTGTTTCCCGATTTTCATTTGTGAGACACATCCATTGCCAATCAGTGACTAGAATTGGCAACTTTGAAAATCTTAAAGCATTGCATCACTACTTTCTACTGTGAAAAGAAATTCACACGCACATCATCATTATCAAATTACTTGCAGATTATTTTAAATTAATATATATATATGCTTGAATAAATGTATAAATGTGTTTATTACATGAGAATAACAATAGGAGTATTCAAAGTATGCATCACAAGGATTCTGTTGGAGATTGACTGACTGACTGACTGAGTTTGGTTTTACGCCGCTTTTAACAATATTCCAGCAATATCACGGCGGGGGACACCAGAAATGGGCTTCACTCATTGTACCCATGTGCGGATTCGAACCCGGGTCTTCGGAGTGATGAGCCAACGCTTTAACCACTAGACTACCCCACCGCCCCCTGTTGGAGACAAAATGGCATCTGGACATGTTCATAGTTACATCAACATTGACATTCCTAATTTGAAAGACAACCATAAGAAATACTACAGAATCTGTAGAAGCTCAAAAGGTTCATTTAGAATTATAAATATGTTATTAACCATGATGCATCAAGAAACAATTAATATATCGTAATACATGTACATTGATGTATCATGGGCCTCATCTTGGGATACAATACTGTATCGCTGGAGTTACAACACAACGAACCAGTCTGAAATCTTGAATGATGAAATATATGTTGACATAGGAAACAGTGCTTCATAGAAACAGGATACGACCACTAGTCGGCTAGTTCAAAACCAGTAACGCTCTAGACCAACTGGTCACTTTATCCCAACATCAAATTATTTTATGCCAAACACTGGTCTGAACTGTGTGGGAAACTAGTGGGACATGACCAAAGGCATCTATTTCTGGTTTCATCATACACACATGTACAATATAATTAAAAAATACATATGAATATGTCTGCTTAAGTGTCCAAAATGAATTCACTGTCACATCTAAATAAAAAAATGGAAAACAACCCATGAAGCAGAATACTTCAAGTGTAACTTCCTGATATTTTCACTGAAAGGTTAATACCATATTTCCACTGATTGACCTTTGCCACATTATCAAGATAACTACGATATAGGATACAACAGCAACAGGTTTGATCACACAATGCCATATTTGGGATGACACTTTCTTAGTAAAGTACAAATTCTAGTACTTTGGGGTTGAGTCCCATCCGGATTCCAACCACACCCTCAGAGTCAGGCGCCTAATCGCCAGGACACAAAGTCAGCCACCTAACCTGCTCAGCCACCACGACTTCCACAGGTTTGCAAAAATACCAGACTGCCATTTACTTCTTGATCTCTTGTCTGGCATGTAGGACCAAAGTTCCAAACTAATTAATGCCTAGTAATATTGATAGTTTCAACAAAGCAACTGAAAACTATTATCATTAATACTGAATAGTGATAATAATGATGTGCACATTTTTTATTCAGGGCCTGTTATTCAAGTAATCTTGACAGGCATACTAAATACTCATTTTGTTCAGAAATTGTTACGACACCCCATTATAGGGGGGACAAAATTTCAGGGGCACAAAATCAAACATGAATGTCATGAGGGGTTCTTGTCATAACCCCAGTGGTAAAAGTCAAAAGATTCAGTACTATATACTAGCATTTCTATGATCGTGTGATGGGTTTTTAAAGATAAAAACATCTGCCGTTGTCTTCATTATCGCATGAACAATTGTAAAACATGTCACTAACTTATATAACATTAGTTTATGCTAAAAACAAGCCATTATTCAGAAATTTACAAAGTCTGAGTGATGCAAAACCTCTCCATATTAACCTGAGTGAGCGTTTCGGTCCAAAAACATATAATGTCCAAAAACCTATGATCTGATGATAAATGACAGTCACAGCTTTAAAAAAGTTTAACTTCATGAATAGCCTTGAAATAGGCTGAAAGATAGGCTTGTGCATCATTTTGCATATATGAATGTTTTAGTGATAAGTGTATTTTCTATGATAATGGCCTACCTCAGGTCAAGGATGCTGACCCTTTGCTGTTCATAGTATTGAAATAAAATTATGAAACTGGGTCAAGATTGGGTCAAACTCAGTACCACTCATTGAAGAACATGTATACATAGTTACCTTAAAATTGTCATTTAGTGTTCAGTAATAGTAATACTTGATATTTATAATGATGGCCTGCTTCAGGTCAAGGTTGCTCACTTCGACTCCTCCCTCCCTGACCCCCCACCAAAATAATAAAAATAGGGTCCTCATAAAATGAAAGAGATTAAAATTCTCCTCAATATTAGATCATCTAGGCTATCTGATCATGTTTGAAGATGTATGTGTTCAGACAATAACGGATATGTTACTCAGGCTTCAAACAATGACTGTCTGATGTTTTCAGTGAAATATAAAATAATTTCACGATTGTACCAGGTGTAGCTTTAATTTTTGAATTAAACAATTCTCTATTTCCAATGGGAATCTCCTATTTTGCATTTGGATCGCATGGCTTTTTTCATTACACCTTCCCTAAAATGTGTAATTAGGTCAAAAGGGGCTTACCTGGACACATATCCGGAACAACAGCTTGGTATTCCTCTCCAATTCGCATTCCATTTTCTGAAAATAAATAGATCACACTAAAGTGGAGAGTCTGATAGCATTTCAAGTTCAATTTCCGAAATGAATTAAAACATAATTCTCTGGGTCAACGTCAAGGGACTTACCATGATCAGAATCGTCCCCGCTGCTATCGTCAGAATGAGGGCTCGCACCTCGCGAACGACGACCATTGCGAAAATCCTCCGAATTTCTATTCGCCATCACCATCTCTATATTTTGGAGAGCTTTAGAAGCTTTTCTCCGGGTTCGAAGATGTATTCGTTCAATTTTGACGACTTTACACACGCAAACGTTTGCACTTAACAATATAGACACCTTTCGTCCATGCAACACAGGGTTGGAGTGCTGGATAATGTAGTCCCTAGGTGAAAAAACTGCATAAAGTAAAGTCAAGCATCAATAGGACAAAAAATGTATAAATAACCATTAAGCAAAGTATTTCAGAGCCTCGTGTATGTCCTCAGCCCAAAACGAAACGTCTATAACATGTTTGAACGGAAACACTGCGCAATGATACATGTCAAGTTTGCTCTTCCGTACTATTCTCCCAAAGGCGATACATCGAAATCGGGTTAGTTTATTGCCCATTGCAAGGAAACCTCAGTGGCCACATTTCGTGAACGATCACGCAATATAACCGATTATATTGTTTCTAAATGCTTACAAATAAGATAGTATGGCGACTTTGGCCAGATACCGAGTCAGGGATTGACACAAGGGGTCAGTTTAGTATATGAGAACGACATGGGCTTCCATACTTCTTGCCAAGAGCCTGTTATGTGGACCAATATTTCTCTATAACACCATGTAAAGCAATATTCGGCACACACACATTACGATAAAAGAAAGACGTGTGTGATCCCTCGTCTCTGTAGACCAATAAACAACGTGTGTGTTATGTTTGACATATGTCTTTGTTTGGAAGCACGTTATTTTATGTCCCCAACAGGGCACCATACGCGATTCCTTCAGAGACTCCTCCCGGAAGATACAATATTTTTGCCGTAATACTGGATTATAAAATCGATTTAATACTTTTAAAACAATCATATGTGTACATCACGATTCCTGTCAGTCTTCATTTTTTAAAAATTTATATCATCAGTTGTGAGTCAGTGTGTCTTTAACACCTTCATATCGTGGGCCTATTTGTACCAATAGTGCAAATAGGCCTTTATCGATTCGAATACTGACTGAATTTACATAAATTTTGAATCTTGTATTTTCTTTTTGGAACAGTCAACAGTATTTTAGACAAGGTTACATGACCATGAACATCTGCGTGTTGCATGGCTTCCTGGGCCACTCCCAGACAATGCGACAGACCCATAGTAAACAGAAAGACTGCCTCCCCCAGGCTATGACCCGGAAAGCTTACATCTACATATTGGTGGGAAATGATTGTGTGTTAATATGCGTCCATTTCGTAGTGGAACATTGACACGATATCATGTAACGAGAGTGAGATGTAAGTCGTTGGAGTGTCACGAAACAAATTATGACAGTTCGATCAAATATATTTGTGTAACCCGTTCCAGATCATAGATGATTGCGCTTTAACAGAAATATTTCGCTCGTAGGAGTAAAGATGGCATGTGGTGAAGGATGTATATACGCGTGTGGTATAACTGATATAACGTCATTGACGGACGCCATATTGGTCAGAACGATATTGACGTAGTGACGTTATGTACGGTATAGTTGAAATCGTGATGAACGTACCGTGTACTGGTAGTGCGATGAAACTGACGTTATGTACGGTATAGTTGAAATCGTGATGAACGTACCGTGTACTGGTAGTGCGATGAAACTGACGTTTATGTACGTCAATCACCATGGAAGAAAGGGACTACTATGGAGGCGTGAAAACGGATTTGGAGAATGAAATCATGACGTTACTTGAAACTATTGACCAGTGATCGAAGATCTGGTTAGAATTGAACTTCAGCAACCCATATGATTTCAACTAAAGGGATCAGGTGATTAGGTTCGCAGACCTGTTTGATGCATGTCATCAAACCCCAAAGGCGTGGCTTTGCTCGCTAGTTTTATATTCATATCTGTGATTTTCTAGTATTTTTACTGTCCATCGTTGACAGGTTTTAATCTTTAAAATGTTTTCACTTTTTATTGTATATAAATTGTTTTCGTCGCGATATGGCTGAGATATTGCTGATGTGACGTTAAATATTAACTCACTCACTCACCCAAAGGCGTGGGTCGATGCTCATGACATCAACCACTTGATTGTCTGGTCCAAGCTCTAGGTGAATGCGGCGTTAAACAATAACAAAATAAAGAAGAAGAAGATACTAACATTCAGAATCTTGATATAGTCCACGTGTGAGCCGCCATAATGCAATAGTCAGCAGCGTTGTGACGTTGAATGAATCAGAAATACTCATCGAACACTGGAAACCGTGACCGTATGCACATGAGAATATAGAACGGCCTTATATTTCATTTCATCCAGACGTTGTGAGTAAGTGAATTAGTATGGCGTTGCGCCCCTTTCAGCATTAATTCAGCCACGCCATGAACGGTTGGGGATACCTAGAATTGAGTTTACATAATTCCCCCCGTGGGGAATTGACCTCGGGTCACTGGCGTGACGAGTCAACGCCATATAATCGCCCCAAGCTAGCCAGCCACAGTGGCGGTTATGGCGATACACTAACCAGACAACAGAAAGTGTTCGGAGAGATGAATCAGGGTCTGTCATTGGCGTTGTGGCAGTAAACGGCGCAGACTCTTCGTGACCGTTACATATGCTTTTCAAGACCATGACGGTACGACGTATATATGTCAGACGTCACGCAGTCAGCCATGTTTGGAGAATCGTCATTGACGTTGTGGCGTAAAGCGCAGTTTTGAACTGCGACCGTTATTCACAAGACGAAACGGAACTATCGAACAATGAACAGGTTCCATCGCAATATTTATAGTATCAAAACACTTTTTGCTTAAAAATACACAAATCCTTATTGTTATCACCTGTGTGATATCTTCAGTGTGATACCACACAGTGTGGAATTTAAGCACGGTGTTTATTGTTTCTGCTCTGTCTGAGGCACGACATTGTCTGAAGCATTCTAAAACTAATCAATGTGCGCATGACCAACACCAACAGTACTCGTCTGTCTGATGCAAAATCTATATATATATCGGAGTAAAATTGATGCGGCGTTTGTTTAAAGGCGGGCGAATTTTTTCGCCAGTTGACTTGATGTTAAAGCATGAGGCGGGCGATCAATCAGTTGAGTTATTGCATTATAATTGATAATTTAACGGAATAAATTAGTCTTAAAGTAGATATATATATGTTGTATGTTTCCCTTGCGATTGTTTACATGGGAAATTCTAAAGCTATTGCTATTCCTTGCTAATATGCAATGTTTTTAATATGTTTTTATAACTACGAAACTACTGACTGCATGCTACTACTACTACTACTACTACTACTACTAGTTAGTTTGGGGACCTACTACTTATAGTGAAATTCTCAATAGCTATTCGTACTAGCTGCCCAAGTAAGAGTTACCTTCCCGGACTAGATATATGGCCCAGACTGAGTGAGTGAGTTTAGTTTTACGCCGCACTCAGCAATATTCCAGCTATATGTCGGCGATCTGTAAATAATCGAGTCTGGACCAGAAAATCCAGTGATCAACAGCATGAGCATCGATCTGCGCAGTTGGGAACCGATGTGTGGCAACCAAGTCAGCAAGCCTGACCACCCGATCCCGTGGTCCAGACTGACATTTAGGGGAAAACAATAGACATCATATTTGAAAATGTGTATTTGAAAGATAAATTAAGAAAGGAGGCAAGACCAATTCTTAATTTCAGGAGCTGGGAAAATCTAGACTTGCCCAATTTTTCTTCACTTGAGTTGACTCCATTATAAGTTATTCTCTATGTCTGGAAGAGATTGTATGTATCGCCGCTTTTGTATGTATGGCCTCAATCTAGTGTGCGAAATAGTTTCCAAATTGTGCTAACCAGTCGGGCTAGCTATGCCTGAAAGTTACTAGCCCACAAAATAATTCACTTGCCCGAAATTTGAATGTAGACACGGGTTTCACCATTAAGCTGCTATAATATAATGAACATTTATATCAGGCCATAACTTTGCATGATTTAAAAGCGTATTATAACCGAACAAGTCGGAGAGAGTGATATAGTTACAATATGACCCTATGAAAATTCAAGAGCCCGTCGGGCCAGTAACAGTGGAGATTAACTGGCCCGACTGGATTTTTACTAGCCACGGGCTAGCGGGCCCTTTATAAACGTTGCTAGTCTTTTCTGACACGAACCCTATATGCAATGACAGTATCGTGACCCTGCGACATGAAGTGACCTGGTTCCAGTCACTGACTGAATTCAATGTCGCACGAGGCAATTTCTAAAGGTCAGTTCCCATCTGCAACATAAAATGAACCATGTGACAAACTGCAGGATATTAATTTAAAGTTTTGACAACTGTCGGTGAGGATTAGAGGCGGGCTGTATTCCAGTTACGACACCTGTGCGACAGGCTGCATGGAGTTTTCTGCTGTGGTTGTCAGCATTTTTACAACTTAAATTATCTGCATGTAAACGACCAATCAGATTAAATAAACTTACATCACACGATATTCGCCTTCGTGCTTATATACCAAACTTAAATTCTGTCTTTTGAATCCAACGCATTCTCATATATACCTTTTCGGTTTGGAAAGGTAACGTTAGTAGCGTTTCCATGGCAACAACAGAGTGGCGGGAAAGTCTGATGTCTATCGTCTGCGCGTGTGACAGGTCTTTTGGCAACTGTTATGGTGTCTCTCGTCCGATGTTACCAGACATTAAATGCCTCGGGTCTGTCATGGGCTAAGACAGCGACTGCAGTGGCAACATCAGATTGATCCTGCGTTTGTATTTTACCCATGTGTGTGTGCGTGCAGGCGTTAATAAAAAAAAAAAAGAATCTTGAAGGTTACAACTCCTCTATGCGCACAATATCACACACCACTGTTAAGGTTTGACCAACATAAATCATAAATATCAGGACGCTGTTTTTGTATATATAAAGTTCATGCACCTGAAGGAATCACTTGTTATATATATATTTATCACAGATAGTCACATTTGTAAATGTTGGTGGGTGTCTATTTATGTATGTGGGGCGGTGGGGTAGCCCAGTGGTTAAAGCGTTCGGTCGTCACGCCGAAGACCCGGGTTCGATTCCTCACATGGGTACAATATATGAAACCCATTTCTGGTGTCCCCCGCCGTGATATTGCTGGAATATTGCTAAAAGCGGCATAAAACAATAGGATACTCACCCACTCATTACATGTGTGTGTCTGGTGTTCGTGCACGTATGACTGTCGAGTCTGAAATAAATGCGTCACCAAATTAATGTGTTTGCCGATTCCCGCCTGAAATGCGTCGCGATATTAATAGTATACAGTCCCTTATCTTGGAATT